TCTAGTCTTACACTGCTAAATTAGGGACAGGTAGCGCAGATAGCCCTCGTGTAGCTTTAGGCGAAATTCAAAACAAACAATATACCTCATATATAAAAGCAACGTTGTTGACTGAGCTTGTGAAAATACTATTTTTCCAAAGAGAAATATTGTTACAGGGAGATTACTAACGATGTAGAGTCAAAGAGCACAACGTTTAGAAAAAGAAAATATTCAGTGTTATCCATTGAAGTGTAAAAATACGAAAAGAAAAATGCACGTGGAACCCTTGGAACATCAAAGAAATTCGAAAACAACTCTAGCTATTCAGAATTGACGTCCTTCTCACTCAGTAAGCATTGCCATGACGTCCTCACCAGCAATCTGAAGACTACAGCTACAAAGAAGCCATTACCATGAAGCTGAGCAATTATTTTGGTGTTATTAACAATATATTAAACAAGAATTTGGAATTGATGATGGCTCACAAACTTCCAGCCACACTTCAATTTCAAAAATGTTTTCATGACGGAGATGGCCATAGAAGTTAGAATCCCGTTCGACTATATACCTGTCAAGTCCCTCGTCGCAACTCCAATGGACTTTTGCTCGTCTGGTTGGATATAAACATCAACTGGTTTATGTAAAGCTACACAAAAGAAGAGCGATAACATTAACTGTTCTCCAATTAAACTGAACCTTATGAAAACATCATTCCAGAACCACCGTTAAGAATTAAGGAAAGCTGATAGAGCATGATTATTATCTGAAATAATATAGACCACCAAAAAAAAATACCGTTCTCACATCCAAGCAGGTCAACAATTCCAACTCTGCATCATCTACACTAAAAACCAACATGAAGTGTAGTTAGTTCTCAAATCGGCTACATTTGTATGACTAAGAAACAAATGCAACTACAGCATAGTTAATTCTGAAAATATTAAAATCATTAGAACCTCTGATAAAGAAAGAAAACAAAAACCTATCAACGGTTTGGACAATGTCCTTCATGCAAGCTGTCAGTTTGTTTGTTTTTGTAATTATGCAGAAAGGTACACAATGGGCTATCTGTGCTCTGCCCACCACAGGTATCGAAACCCGGATTCTAGCGTTGCAAGTCCGCAGACATACCGTTGTGCCACTAGGGGGGGCGCAAGCTGTCAGACAAAGAGGACTAATTTTTCTGTACCTCTTTATATTTTATTATATTTTCATGATGTCAAGCAGATGGGGGCTAAAGTGCCAAAAACGACTTCTAAAACGCGTCATTTATTATTTAATTTTACAGATTGATGAATAAAGCTTGAATTAATCTTTACTAATTTTTTTTTGCGTTTACAGCATTAATTATCGAAAACTGACTTATAAGATAAAGTTTTCATTAACACAGGATTTAATTAACTGATATATTTCACTTACGTTTTATTTAATTAAAAGTCAGTAAACATCGCTACAAATAGTCTTTAAGACAACGCTTATCTATGAAACGGAGTTTTATTTTAAGAGATTAGTTTAATAGGCTTAGAGTAATTTTAGGAATAGTCCATTTTATTCTAATGGGTTTAAGTACTAGTACATCCGTAAAAGTTATATATTTTTGGTTGTTTATTAGTTATAGTGCACAAAGCTGCATAATGGGCTATCTCTGCTGTGCTCACAACGGGTATCGATATCCGAGTTTTAACATTACAAGCCTTCAGACTTACCGCTGAGCCACTAGGGAAGGTTATATGCTGAAGTAATACTTTCCTGTTGGATTTATAAATCTTAAATAAACCGACAGTAGCGCTAATGATAAATCGTTTCGTCTTCACTCATAATGTAAACTAATAGAGCTGTATAAATAAGTATAGCATAATCACTAATAAGTCAGTTCTCAGAAATCTAAGGCTATAATTCTAAGGAATTTTTAGGGCTTTATTGTCAGAAAAGATAATTGAAAACAACAATGAAACTACTTTTACTATACAGCAAAATTATTATCTTTTAACTAATATACCTATTTGATGTTTGGGATCACCAACCTTTAGCAATAGAAGCTATATCTTTCTAGCCTTTTCCATCTGCGGCGCCCTAGTACGGACACATCAGGTTTAACGTATTCTGTTTTCCAAAATTTCGAATATGTAAATTCAATGAATTTCCTATTAATAACGCCTCATTGGATTGGTTGTTTGTTTTTGAATTTCGTTCAAAGCTACTCGAGGGCTATCTGTGCTAGTCGTTCCTAATTTAGCAGTAATAGACTAGACCAGTGGTCGGCAACCTATGATCCGCGGGTCACTAAGCGGCAATAATTTGGCTGACCCGCCAAAAGTTGGCTTCACCATTGCAACTCGTAAGGGCACAATCATTGTTCAGTTCAAGTTGCTCGGCTATCTGAGAAGAACAACGATATTAAAGGAAAGAGTCAGGGCTACGGAGAATTTTAAGATCAATTTCAGGGGAAAATATCAAACTGGTCGAACTATTAATTTTTTTGTATGTAAATAAACATACACATTTAAAATACATGTATATATTAATAATTATATGATTATCACTGACCCACCACAATGCTAAATTTTTCAAAAAAAAAATAATTGACCAGCGATCAAAAAAGGTTGCCGACCACTGGACTAGACGTAAGGCAGCAAGTTAACATCACACACCACCAACTCTTGAGCTACTCTTTTACCAAAGAATAGTGGGATTGACCGTTACATTATAATATACCCATGACTGAAAAGACAAGCATATTCGGTGACGAGGATTCGAACCCACGACTTGCAGATTGCGGGTTGAGCGCCCTAACCACCAAGTCATGCCAGGCCGTCGCCTCATTGGAATTTGGTCGATTATTGGCTTGTTATTCTCTGCCGTCGAGTTATGAAAATAACTATAATTTCGTACATGTCAAACTTGTATTTTACCCTAAATAAGGGCTTAAAATGAAACATTCATATATAAATTCTATTTCGAATCGGGCCGAGTGTGTCTTAATGGTTATCATACTTGATCGTTCATAATTCGCGTCCTGTTGCTACCAAAAACCTCGCTCTGCACTTTGGGGCCGTAGGTTTGTTACAAGGGTGGAGCAAACCCCGCTAATAGCTCAAGTGTCAGCAGTGAGTTTTGTTGATTAAATTATATTTAGTCTATCAGTTCAAACCTAAGGACGGTTAGTGCAGATAACCCTTGGGTTTTTTTTTTCGGGAATACCTGCGCCAAGTACTGAACTACATAGATGTGGCTACCAGTAAGTAAGACCTACATCAAATAGATTTACGTGTACGTATATCTCTACCAAAATATTTATCTGCGAAATTCTGATGTTCATATTTCTGACAGGAAGATTATGAACAGCTGTTTCATTTAAAGTATTAGCATTTGCAGTTAGAGTTCCTTATGAATGCACCCATTTCCTAGCACTTTATGTAGTGATAGTTTGGAATACCTTAATTTTACTCTGAGTTCCGAAATGTGTTTTTCGAGTATTGTTTAGGTAATGAGCCCTTTAATCTGTGTTTAAAATCATATTATTTTGCACACATTCAAAATTAGTATACATACTGAACCCATGCAGGTTTGGTTTTACGGTTGTGAAGAGATTAAGGGTAGATGGAGTTATTTGACTCTTAAAACAATGCCAATATTGATTACTTTAAGTCATATTTTACTGGTTTTTGCCACGTTTTCGGAAATGTTTTCATCTTTTGCTTTATTTTATGGAAATTCGCAAGTGCATAAATACCCTATACTGTCAGAACGTTACATTTAATTCACACCAACAATCACATTTGTTAGAAGTAATTATCACGACACAATCCTCTCAACATGGGCTTAAGAGAAGAGAATACAAAACAAGAAATAGCGGTTTCTGACAAGACTTCTTTCTGATTGTTCTTAACCTGAGTCTCATTACGTACAATATCTCCGTGTACGTTTTTGAGACTTGTATTGAACTTGGGATTATAAATAAAATAAAAAGCACAGACGTGTTTATTTGGCGCAAGCTTTCAACTCCAATGCTATTAGATATTTCTTTATCTCGAAAAAGGTTTTCAATTTGCTTCATGTTTATGTTTTAATATTTTTTTATTCAAACAGTTTTTTATACATTTTTAAAAAACTCCATTTCATTGAACCCGAAAATTATTATTTGCTCACCCTTTTTAATAGAAGTGAGCATTAGAAAATAAAAGTAAACTTTTACTTTTAAGTTTTTACATTGTTGATTAATTATTTAGATTAATAGTATTTTTATATCCTCCTGTCAAATTACAGTTTTCTTAATTGATCAAAATTCCTCATCACTTCACACGGATACAATATTAAAATTCAGCTTTCTGGAGCAGAAAGTTGTTAAAACACAATGTATATTCTACTGATATTTCTCATAAACAAAAAGAAAAAAGCAAGTTTGATAGTTATTTGAATTAATATTTCTGTGATGTTTTGTTTAGTGCGTTCAAACAACTGAACAGAATTGTCTTTGTTTTCAAGAACGAAAGCTTAGCTTCTATACGTTTAAGAAAACCTCACTATAGCGCGAATATCAGAGACAAACCAAATTTATTTCGAATTCAGCTATATACTTTGATATACACATTCATAAGGGAATCATAAAAAATACTTGGTTATGCCTTACACTATTTTTATTCTGACTTGAATATATATGATAAACAGTAAGAAATTTTAAAATTTCTCCTGCAAATAAACACAACAGTTTTATTCGAAAATATTTATTTTTACGACATTATCTATTGTACTGAGTCAAAATGAGACATTTCTTTGTCTTTTGTCGCTTACTCCGCAGAAAATAGAGAAAAAAGCGTTTGGAATCGTGTTTATTGGTATGAAAATTGAAAGCATAAATATTTTTTGACATACACAAATATGGAGTTACATCGACACATCAGAGGACTTGATTGTTACATTTATTTTCATTCACACAGTTAAATCTTTATATAGCATTCTCCGATTTCTGGCAACCGACAAGGTCTATAACACTGACAATGTTGAATTATTTTCTACAGTAAAAAAGAAAGTGAAATTCCGTGGCTTCGAAAAAATGATACTGAGGAGAGGAATGTGCAAGCTCGAAAAGCCTATGAAGCTCTGTTGATAGTGACTGCAAGAAAGCCTGAAACTCCTGACTATGCCGAGTTTTCTCATACTGTCAAGAACACAGCAAAAACAAATTTCGGGTTTGATTACGGTGAAGAAGAGGTAAAGTATTTTAGATTTTTATAAAGGTAAAAATATTATATTTCGGGTTTGATTACGAGGAAGAAGAGGTAAAATATTTTAGATTTTTATAAAATAAAAATATTATATTTCGGGTTTGATTACGAGGAAGAAGAGGTAAAGTATTTTAGATTTTTATAAAAGTAAAAATATTATATTTCGGATTTGATTACGGGGAAGAAGAGGTAAAGTATTTTAGATTTTTATAAAAGTAAAAATATTATATTTCGGGTTTGATAACGAGGAAGAAGAGGTAAAGTATTTTAGATTTTTATAAAAGTAAAAATATTATATTTCGGATTTGATTACGAGGAAGAAGAGGTAAAGTATTTTAGATTTT